GCATATAGGTGGATCGTGTGTTTTTATCCATTCTGCCAATCTCTATCTTTTGACTGGAGAGTTTAATCCATTTACATTTAAAGTAATTACTGATAAGAGGGGACTCACTTGTCACTCTATTTGTTCTCTATATGCCCTCCAGCTTTTTTGTCCCTCATTTCCTACAGTGCTGTCTTTTGTTTTTAGTTTTTTGCAGGGAAGTGTTTAAATTCCTTTTCAATTTCCTTTTGTGCATATTCTATAGCTATTGTCTTTGAGGCTACCATGGGGATTACATTTAACATCCTAAAGTTATAAGACTCTAATGTGAATTTATACTAGTTTAACTTCAATAACACACAAAAGTCTGTTCACCTCTTTGCACCTCTGCGATAAGAAACAGCAATGAGCAATCAGAGCTCAGATCCCTGATATTTGGAGGACAGAGTCCTTTTTGCCCAGCCTCTCTGTGGCAAGCTGTGTGTGGGCTACTCCAGGGGCACATACATAGCTGTCTGCCTTGTGGCTTGAAGTGGGGGCTGGGTACACCTACTGCGGTAAGAGCCGAAATTAACCAAAATTAACCTTCCCATTCTTTCCCTGGAAGAGGCAATCCTTCCATAGACTTCAGAGTTCCAAGACAGTTACATCAGATTCTGTTGTTAGGATTGTTGTCTAGGTTGGGAGATGGATTCCTGGCACTTCCTACTCCATTTCCCAGAATCCTCTTCATTCTGAAAGCTTTTTGAATCCACACCCTTCAGTTATGTCTAGTTCCTATGGCCCAATGTGGTCCCATCCCGATTCTCGCACAACTTTTAATCAATTACTCCTGTTATCAGGAGATTATTTAAAGTGTTCCAGGAGTCAGCAGGAGCTAGACAGGAAACATTTTGGCCTTCCTATCATTTTCATGCCTCAAAAATATTATCCTTCTGTTTTTTTTCGTTCAATCATTAAAAATGTTAAAACCAATTCTCAGCTCATTGGGCATAACAAACATAGGCTGTGGGCTGATGTGGCCCTTGGCCAAGGTCTGCTGACTCCTGATATATTCCAAGTACTTGGGGCTACATTAATGTTGAATAAATAACTTTCTCAAAAGTACAATAGGGGGCGCCAGGGTGGCTCAGTCAGTTAAGCGGCTGACTTGATTTCAGCTCGGGTCATGGTCTCAGGGTCCTGGGATTGAGTTCCACGTCCAGCTCCACACTCAGTGGGGAGTCTGCTTCAGGATTCTCTCTCTCTCTTTGCCCCTCTCCCCCACTCGCTCACACACACTCTCTCTCTAAAATAAATAAATCTTTATTTATTTATTCATTTGACAGAGCGAAAGAGCACAAGCAGGGGGGAGCAGCAGAGGGAGAGGAAGAAGCAGGCCCCCTTCCGAGCAGGGAGCCTGATGCGGGACTCGATCCCAGGACCCTGGGATCATGACCTGAGCCGAAGGCAGATGCTTAACCATCTGAGCCACCCAGGTGCCCAATAAATCTTTTTTTTTTTTTTTAAAGGTACAATAGAATGGTACAGTTGCCTTTTTACATTAATTAGTTTAAACAGTACTAAAAACCTTTGGTCAGATACACTCAATACTACTATTTTGGCAAAGTCTTAGAGGATTCTATGAAGTGGAAGGATTCAAAGTCCCCAGAAATGGTTGTTTTGTACTATCTAAACTCACCAAACATAATATAGTACTGGGATTTTCCATTCAGGTTCTTCTGATCCACGTCTGCAGGGAAGACCTTAATGTAGCCCCCTCCACAGTCCATCTTCTGCTCATGTTTCACTGTGTACTGAATGACCAGAGTCTTCCCTTTATTGCTAAATGGTTTGAATCGTGCAGAGATGGCATAGAATCGGCCATTTTGAGTGGTTTGCAGACCTTTAAACAAAACAAAACAAAAAAAACACTCATGAAGGATTAGGTACGACACTGTGCTCAGTGCTGCAGGGAATTAAATGGCTGTCCTTCTCCCACACCCAGTAATAACGACTTATGTCAACCCAGAGCCTAAAACACATTTTTACAATAACACATGACAGGCATTCCACTAACAGGCTCTCTGCCGCCACAGAATTTTCCACGCTCAGGTGTTTTTGTGCTCAATATACCACTGTCATGTCCTAAGTTACAAAAATACTTCGGCTTTAAATGACAAACTTGCAACCTAATTATGGATAAAAAGTTAATTTTGCTTCGAGTCATCTTCCAAAGAAAGTGTAGGGAATATACAATAAAGCTTGCGTAGCAACTTAATTAAAAAACAGAGCATCCTACATCTTTTCTTTAATTTGAATCTTAAAATAGTTGCCTAAGACACACCACCATGGATGGAGGACAGAGCGCTGTCCTGTAAAAATGTGCTTCACTGCACAGGATGTGCTGGCCCGAACTGTCCTCTTTTTAAAGATACCACCCTTTTGTGGGCGCCTGGGTGGCTCAGTTGGTTGAGCGACTGCCTTCGGCTCAGGTCATGATCCTGGAGTCCCGGGATCGAGTCCCACATCAGGCTCCCTGCTCAGCGGGGAGTCTGCTTCTCCCTCTGACCCTCTTCCCTCTCGTGCTTTCTATCTGTCATTCTCTCTCTCTCAAATAAATAAAATCTTTAAAAAAAAAAAAAAGATACCACCCTTTTGTCACATGAATCATCTCGTATCTTATAAGTTTAGGTGTTCACTTTTAAGACTAAACTCCCCTTTTTCAGTAGCCACAGGCTCTGTACCAAATCCATACCTTATATTGGAGTATAAGACAAACTTGAAAACAGAGGCAGTCTTACTATAACCTAGTCTTCCTTGCTCCACATTCCTGCCCCCATACCTGCCAATGCTGAGATCCATCATAAATGCACTTGGCATTTTCATTTTCTATCAGTATGTCCAAGCCTGACCTCATGGCTAACCGCTCACTACCACACTCATCCCTCTCTTCCATTCTCTGCACCCCCACCCTTCCCTTTCTCAAAGAATTCATAGGCTCATCCCACCCCCCCGCCACTTCCTTACCAACCAGGCAATTCCTAAGGCCAAGATTCACCACCTCCCTCTCTCTCACCACCCTCCTCAGCCACCCCCATCATCTCTCACCACTTCCCATCTCTGTCCGACTAAATTCTATTTATCTTTCCATCCACCACTTCGGTGTGATGGTCCTGGGAGACCACAATGAAAGGGGCCAAATTAACTGGTATCCCCAGTGCCTCGCCCATGTGTGCTTTCAATAGATGTGTGCTGGAGTGAATGAAACACAGAGTCTCGGGATCCCAGACTGGAAGACGAAACGACACTGTGGGGGAAAAACCCAAATGACTCTAAGTGGACACCCCTATCCTTGGACAAGCTTGATGGAACCACCTGTTAATTTCACTCTACTTTTGTCCTATGGGCCGAATATTGACCAACTCATGGAGTCAACATGTAACTTAGAAAACAATGCATATATAGTAGAAAACTGGAAGCTGCCAACAGCTTGGAGTAACAGAGCCAAGATGGAGGTTGAGCGGAAGGCTGAAGAGGGAAACTTTTCATCTAAATCAGGTGTCTGCAAACGTTTTCTGCAAAGCCAGAGAACAAATATTTTAGACTTTGTGGGCCATATGGTCTCTGTCCCAACTTACTGCCTTTGCAGCATGAAAAAAGCCATAGCTCTATGTAAATGAATGGGCATGGCTGTGTTCCATAAATACTTTACTTATGGACACTGAAATTTCATATATTTCACTGAATTTTATATAATTTTCCTATGACGCAAAATACTATTCCCCTTTTGATTTCCCCCAACAATTAAAAAATGTAAAAATCATTCTTATCTCACCAGCTGTGCAAAAAACAGGTGGTAAGCGAGTTGTGGTGTGCTCATCTTTTATCATCAGGATTGAGAAGACAGAAGTCATCCTCGGCACCAGGAGGGTACTGACTTGGGGGGGTGGGTGGAGGGCGCAAGGGGAACCTCTGAAAATGTTCCCTATCTTGACCAGGGTGTACAGATGTAAACACTCATCTTTCTGTACCCCTAAGATCTATGCACCTGACAACACGTACCTTTTATCCTCATTTTTTTCTTCTTAGAGTGAAAACAAAAATGAGAAATATCCCCTAACTTTCTTCCCTTTGCAGGTCAAAGATCTGGGGTCTCCAAACTCATGCGACTAGTTGGTATACAATGGGGCAATCTTGGGCAAGTAAAGAAAGGAAAGAAAAAGTAAGGCCAGACCTTATTCAAGCCTTCCTTAGTTTCCCCACCAGTGAAACAGCTTTTTTAGAGGTGTTGGGGTGTGCCACACCACACCTACCTTGCAAGGTTGCTATGGTGGTGGGGGGGGGCGGCTGTGTGACACTTAGCTCGATTTCCTCACCATTCCTACACTAACCTTTGTCTTTCTCTTTATGACCATAAAATTTCCCCGACGAGAGTCTAAAATGCCCAAATTGAGAGTCATTGGTGGACTGCACCCATCGGTTCCTCCAGCGTTCTGTGGGGGAAAACAACACGGGTTAGGGCTGAAACTTCATTTGAGTCATGGAAGGTGTGTGGGGGGGTGGGGTTAGGAGGGGGAGGCTCGAAGCTTCGAGGCTTCGCCACCCCGATCCCGCGGCAAATGAACCGGAGCAATGTTGACTCGGACTGTTTGGCTGGGCAGCTTACGCCCCCCCACTCCACCACCACGGGCGTCGCCTCTTCACCTCCGTCTAAAAATTCCTCTTGGAAGTAGACCGTGGCTAGCGCCACTCTCAGCATGCAGACCACCCAAAGCGGAACGCGAGCCACAGCCATGGAAGGCGCGCTGCGCTTCTCGTAACCGCCCCTTTGCTCCCAGAGGTCCCCGCGGCGTGCCGGGCCGGCCCAAAACTACAACTCCCGTCACACCTCGCGATTGTGACCTGAGGCACCATTGGCCCCCAGCGCGCAGTGCACGCCGGGCCCGTCTCGGCACTACCACTCCCATGACGCACCGCGATAGTGACCTGGTGCCCCATTGGTCCCCTGAGCGCGGCGCGCGCCGGGGTATGTAGTCTCCTCCGCCCTAGCGCCGTTGCCGGGGGCAACGGTCCCATCTGGCCGGAGTGGCTGGCGGTAGCGCGGTGGCGGCCTCTGCGGATGGACATCGTGGGAGGAGGTTGGCAAGGTTGGCTGGGCTGCCGAGGGCTTGGCGTCCGGACTCGGGAGAGGAGTTGCGGGGAAAGGGGAGCGTTCTGAAGCTGGGCTGGGAGGGCGGCCCGGCGCCTCACGCCTGTTTCCCCGTCGGGGCCCACCTGGGAGCGTGGTCGGGAGTGGGTCGCTCCCGGCGGTGGGGAAGAGCCCGATGGTCTGAAGGGAGCCAGTGTTTCAAAGTTAGCTTTACTTATTTTTAACAACTGGATTGAAGATTCGTTTACGTTATCATACAATTCACCCCTGTTAAGTGTAAAATTCAGTTACTTTTATTTATAAGTTTACCAAGTGGTGCGGCAGTCACCACGATTCAGCTTTAGGACTTCTCCGTCGCCCCGCGGATATCCCTCCTGGCCCTTTGCAGTCCCTCCTCGCTTCCACTCCCAGCCCCAGGCAACCACTGAGGTGCTTAGCGACTGTGCAGATTTGCCTTTTCTGGATGATCCTTATGAATGGGATCATACACTGGGGGGGGGGGCGGTTTGCATCTCATTACTTTCCCTTTGCATGATGTGTCCGAGATGCATGCGTGTTGTGTGTATCTGTATTTGTTCTTTTCTTATTGCCGGATAGTATTTCGTTATGGATGGACCTCAGTTCTCATCCATTCACTAGTTAATGGACTTTTGGGTTGTTTCCACTTCTTGTCTATTACGAATACTATTATGCATACATTTCGGTCTTCTTGGGCTACGTGGGAACCGCCAGACTGTTTTCCAAATTGGCCCCTGTACCATTTCACAATCCCCCATGACAGTGTATGAGGGTTCCAGTTTTTTCACATCCTCACCCACACTAGTTATCTGTAGTTTTGATTGTAGGCATTCTGGTGCTGTGAAGTGGGATCTGGTGGTTTTGATTTGCGTTTGCCTAGTGGCTAGTGACATTGAACGTCTTTTCATGTGTTTGCTGGCCATTCATATCTTTTTTTTTTTTGTCCTTCAGTGCAGTGTCTGTTCATATCTTTTGTCCATTGGTTTATTTTTAATTGTGTGTTTTAAAAATATATCAGCTTGTGGTAAAATGGACTTGACACAGAATTTGCCTCTTTAACCGTTATTGATTTATTTTTAAACCTAGGGAAACTTTCAGAAGAACTAGATGCTGGAAAACCTGGCCTGGTGGTCGGGCTTTCCCTCGGACCCACAGAATGGCCGGGGCCGAGTCCTCTCCTGAGCTTCAGTTACAAAAAAATAAAGGTAGCTGTCAATGTGCCAGTGTCCTCCGCTTCCTCTTTACCACGTCCTTCCAGCTAAAAGCCAGTTAAAAGTAGGTATTCCAAACATTACTATCTAAATTTTACTATTTACTCCTGCCCTACAATGAACATAGGAATCCTATGAGGGTCATAGTTATTACCACCTTTTTAGGATGAGCAAGCTGAAGCACAGAGTGGTTAAGCAACTTGCCCAGTGTCACACAGGCTAGGAATTCTGCACTGTTTCTGTTGGGGGTGGTTTTGTATTCACTGACTCCTGTGGTCAGGCCTGTGCTAGGTTAGTTAGTGCTGTTAGTACCCAGCTCAGGCCTTAGTGCCCTGGTGGTTAGGATGGGGACAAGCAGGCCAGCTCACCAGGCAGAGAAACAGAGAGAAAAAGAAAAATAATTCACTCTTATACAGAATCTTAGGGCTGCGTTAAATACTTTTCCTTGCACGAAACATTTGAGTTCAGGTTTGGAAGGCACAGAAGACATAGGCTTGCCAGATTTAACAAATAAAAATACGTGACACCCAGTTGAATTTGAATTCCGGATAACCAATAAATAAATTTTTCGTCTGAAAGTGTTTGGAACATACTACTTTTTAGTATAAAAATAATCTGGGTCGGGGCGCCTGGGTGGCTCGGTCAGTTAAGCATCTGACTCTTGATCTCGGCTCGGGTCTTGGTCTCAGAGTTGTGAGTGCAGGCCTGTGTTGGGCTCCGCGCCGGGTGTGGAGCCTACTTAAAAAAAAAAAAATTAGGGTTATACTTATATTTTAAAAATTATTTACTATTTATCGTAAATTCAAATCACTGGGTGTCCTGTTTTTAATCTGGCAATCCCAGTGAGCTCGTTTTCCAAGTGGACAGGGATGGGGAAAAGAGGCTTTTTTAGGTCTCACGGTGAATTAAAAAAAAAATAATAATAACGCATGGCCTTGCTAAAACATTCAAACAATATGGGAACAAGCAGTGGTTGAACATCTTGTCTTTTCTGCCTCACATAGTATTATGCTGGCCACGTTATGCACAGATCTCCCCCGTTCCTTTTAACGGCTGCATCGTATTCCCTCATCTGCATGCGCTCTTCTGGGTCGCACCAGGTCTCTATGGATGGGTTCAGGTTTTTGATGAGTACAAACAATACTGCTGTGACATTCCTTGAACACGCATCTCTGTGTGCATTTCTGGGTGTAACTGTAGGTAAATTCCCAGACGTGGAATCGCCAGGTCACGGGGTCTCTGCATCTCCCACTTGCATTGCTGTTGGCGTGTTCCTTACTCAAGGGGCCGCAGCAAACACACACCCACTCAGACGATCTTTTTCCATCTTTTTAAGATTTTAAACTTTTTGGAAACCTTTGGAAATCTTGTAGTGGGTCGTTTTTATTCTTTTAGGGACACGTGGGAACTCTGAGAATATGATGAAAGCACTGACCTCTCTCCCCCAAAGAATGTACACCAGCATGTGCACGCACCATGCAGCTGACATTGGTGGGGGGTGCTGTGTCCGTAGCCCCTCTGTCTTTCCAGGGCAGTGGTTTTCACACTGAAAGTACGGTATTCTGGGGGGGCTCCTTACATATACAGGTTGTGTTCGGGCAGTCCTTTGTGAGAGGGCTGGGGACACTTGGGTAAAGGTGGAGCCCTGATTTGGGGAGCGAGTGGTGGTGTAACTGGCCAGGCAGCGAAGCACGGTGGGGAAGAAGGGGAACTTTGGAATCAGACCTGAGCTTTGAATCTGGCTCTGCTGCTCACCAGCCAGGTGACCTTGACTGGCGACCTTGACCGGTGCCCTAACCTTCGGGGGCTTTTATTTTTCTTGGCTTCCTCTAAAAGGGGGATCAGGGTTACATGAGGATTAAATGAGATAACACAGCTCCGAGCAGAGTGCCAGGCACACCACTGGAGCCTGAGAAGCACTGGCTCTTCTGTTTAACGTTCAACACGTCTCATTGAAGACCTGGCATAGAACGGTAATTCAGTCGGTGCTACTGGGTGTTGACGTTTTCATTGTCACTGTGGGGCTTGAAGGGAAGGCTCTAGCCAGACTGCAAGGAAGGATCTGAGCTCTCAAACGGGAGGCGTTGAGGGATTTGAAGGCCCAATATGAACGTCAGATTTTTTTTTTTTAAGAATTTTATTTATTTATTTGACAGAGAGAAAAGCAGAGGGAGAGCGGCAGGCAGAGGGAGAGGGAGAAGCAGGCTCACCAAGCAGGGAGCCCGATGCGGGGCTCGATCCCAGGACCCTGGGATCATGACCTGAGCTGAAGGCAGCTGCTTAACGACTGAGCCACCTAGGCACCCTTAATGTCAGGTATTCTTTTTTTTTTTTTTTAAGTTTTTATTTATTTATTTGAGAGAGAGAGAATGAGAGAGAGCCCGGGAGGGAAGAGGGTCAGAGGGAGAAGCAGACTCCCTGTTGAGCAGGGAGCCCGATGTGGGACTCGATCCCGGGACTCCAGGATCATGAACTGAGCCGAAGGCAGTCGCTTAACCAACTGAGCCACCCAGGCGCCCAACGTCAGGTATTCTTACTCTACGTTTTCCTTTCTTTACTCCCTAGAATGGCTTCCATAAGAAGAACCGGCCATCCCGCGCGCAATGTTTTTGGTGATTTTAGTGATATTTCCTTAGAAGATTCAAAAATGGAAGAAATCAGAACCTTGAAAATCAGTAGAAGTCTTACCAAAATAGCACCCGCTCATAGCAGATTTCTAAAAGGAAACCAAACCATGGGTGTAGAACACTCACTTCTGAGAGAGAAGGCTGTTGTGGAGGGTGGGCACAAGCTCTCCTCAGGGAGACCCCCGACCACTGCCTCGAAGCTCAGGGCCAGCGCCGCACTCACAAAGCTGGCTCAGATAGAAACCAAGATCATGAATCGGAAGGCGAAGATGGATTTGTCTGACATGGAATCCGACCTGAAGACCTCTGAGGACAGTCTTCCAGAGCGCACAGACACAGTCCCCCCCGGGAGTACAGTCAAACTTTCTCCACACAACCTGGATGAAACCTCCCAGAAACAAGCCTGGGAAGTTTCCATGGCCGAGAGCAATGCGCGGAATGGGAGGGTCAGTAGGTTTCTAAAGAGGAGGGAACCACGGGTTGAAAATACCTTCCCTAAAGCACATTTTGGAAAAGAGAGGAATTTTCAAACACCCAAAGAGAAAAAACCTACTAGAAAACTAGATTCTCCAGACAGCGATGAGGAGGAAATGAAAGAGTTGCTGGGAAGCTTGCTAGAATCTCCTAGAGAAAAAGAAACATACACGAATCGGTGTTTCGGCAGCCCCAAAGTCAGTGAGAAAGAACAGACAAAACTGTCCTCGGTAAGGTTTGCATCTACTTTTTTTTTTTTTTTGGATTGATTGATTGATTTGAGGAGGGGAGGGGCAGAGGGAGAGGGAGGGAAAATCGTCAAGCGGACTCCCTTCTGAGGGTGGAGCCCGACGTAGGGCTGGATCCCACAACCCTGAGATCATGACCTGAGCCGAAATCAAGAGTCGGATGCTCAACCGACTGAGCCACCCAGGCGCCCCTGTGTGTACTTATTCTTTTTTTTTTTTTTTAAGATTTTATTTATTTTAGAG